AAGGCGCTCTAAGCCCGCAGGGCTGCTTCGCCGATGCAAGCGCAAGGACAGGAGAAGGCAGCAGGAGGCCTCGCCCGGACACACACGTCCACACACAGGCTGACTGAGACTGGGCCCTCAAGCCAGGATGGAGACCACCGACAGAACAAGAGGGCTTCTCTCTCGCTGGGGCACGAGGCTAGGGCTCTTCTTCAGCTTGAGAGAAATAGCTTTGTATACTGCTCTTAATTTAACACACTTATCAAGGAAGAACCAGTGGTGATGACTGTGAAGAAGGAAACATGCACTGGGGAGTGAAGCTATAATCACCAGGCTCACAGACGTGCTGCGTCCACAGCAAACACTGCCCAGCAGACATGGCCTGCAGATCTCCAAGCTGCTTTCCTGAAGCCCTGACTCACGGAAAGTCGGAAGAGCACACTTCCTCAAAGCCTTCTCGCAGGACATAAGATAGTGGTGCACACAGGGCAACTGTTACCAAAGACAGACAGTGCTCAGGACCATGCATGCAGAACTACCCAAAATAACTATGAGACATAAGTGGGAAAAGCAATAGGTTTGGCAGGACAGGGACTGGAAACACTTGCAATAAAAATGCCTTACTTTATCTGGCACTTTCTTAATTAAGTACATTCTCATTTGCAAAAGGTAGAAAGAAAAAGAAAGGGAAAAGGGGGGAGAAGAGAGGAAGAGATTCTTCCCATTTTCTCCAACGTTAGCCTCTCCGTGAGACCAAGTACCATCACACATTCCGAAACTACTAAAAAGCTAAAAGGCCTAGTGCCTGCACCTAAAAATCTCTCCACCCCCTAGAAATGTTCTGCCTTTTTTCTTAGCAACAGGAGTAGTGCTATTGCTTACTGGTGTACCTTTAGGGAGAATGTCTCTTTCTGTCTCTTCCTGGGAGTGAGGGGATGGGCGTTCATGTAAGCCTGGACCACAGGGGCCTGTAGCTCCCTCCGGATGCAGTGGCCAGCAACTGCCTGCATTCTGCATGTGGAAAAATGAGAGTGGAGGAGGGAGGACACTAGCCCTGGGCCGTCCAGCAGGCCAGTGGCACACACAGGGCAGGCAGCCAGCCAGCCTACAGACGGGGCTTGGAGATGAATGGGTGGCCTGGCCAGTGTCTCTGGGAATAAGGCAGGAGGCAAGTGGGCATGTGATCGCACACATCCGCCCCTCCTCCAAGTCAAGTGCGGGGCCCCTCCTCATCTTGTCGGCGCCTCCCAGATCAGGGTGTTCAGGCCACACCCGGACAAGGCACAAAGGGCTGAAATGGAGAGCCGAGAGACCACCTTCCATGCTCAGGGTCACCCTAAGCCTGCCCTGCTAACATGGGCTCCCTCAAGGCACAGGACACCCCAGACCAGCCCACCCACGGCTCACTCACAAGTCTGTGGCCTAGGCTCTCCCTCAGCAGCAGTCCAGACCACTTCTGTCTCAAATACAGGAGGGCGCCCTGCCTTGGTGAGCAGGCCCTTGCTCCTATCACGGCCCAGCTGTGAAAGCAGATGCCTCTCTCCTGCAGCACAGCGGCAGAAGGCCCTGAGAGGCAAGGGAAAATGGGCTTCTCGGATGTGGAACCACGTCCAGGGAGCAGGACAGCTGGTGCTGGGCAGTTCTGCCCACCCTCACGCTCTAGCCCTCAAAGGTGGGGGCTGCTCCAGTACCAGTCCCCAGTGCCTATGAGGGGTTAGAGATCCCTGATGCTTCAGTCCCTGCACTCATCATCAGCCAAGCCGGGCACCTTGCCTGTCACTTTCATACTAAGAGACTCAGCATTGCACTCCACCAAAGTGGTGGCAAGCACAAAAGTAGAGCACAAAAGAGAAAAAGCCTAACAGAGCAGCAACTGCAAACCCCCTTCCTTCCACACCAGGCCCTCCACGTTGCGGTGCAGAAATCCCCCACCAGGAGTGTGCACTGGCAGGACACGAGAGCTGCTCTCCTGGACCTTCGGGTGTGTCTCCTCGCCCTCTGGCTTCACATACTGTGCTGTCCTAGAAAGAAAACAATCCTCTCTGCTTAACATACCACAGTCCCAAAACCCTGCTTGAGCTGAACTGGGGCTGGCTGTGCTGGGCCTGAAGCACAGTATCCCCATATCCACTCCTGTCTGCTGCACCAGGAAGCCTGGCACACACCCCCACCACATCCCAAGCCCCCTTTGCCCCCCTTGATTAAGGAAGTGCCTCCAATCCTCTGGGGTGACAGGACCCCCACACAGCTCACTGGACCCGGCACTCAGTGAAGGCTCTTGGCTGATGGGACCCTAACAGAGGCCCGGCCCTTGCCACCACTTTGGTGGAGTGCAATGCTGAGTATGAAAGTGACAGCAGATTTCAACCAAGTAAACAAGAGAAACCCTCTCCAGGCAGACTCCTCAAGGCTGAGGTGCTACCACATCCTACCAGTAGTGCCTCCAAGCCAAGTATCAACAGTGTCTCAGCAGTGACCCATAAACCAAAATAAAGCGGACAGGAAACAATGCGCTGACTTGGGGTGACTGGCATTCCTCAGGCAGCATCGAATGTCATCAACGACTGACACTCACACTGTCACTGGGTCGCTGGCACTTTTCCCAGCGGCCCTTTCTCACGTGGGAACAGATGGGAATGTGGGGCACTCCCCGGGGACAGGGAGTTCCGTGGCCCCTGAGGACCTCAGCACGTGGGGTCCTCGGAAGCCTCTCTGGCATGAGCTGTCCCCTCACCCGGCACGTTTATGGCATCAATGTGTGACAGTCACTCCAGGCACCAATCATTTTTGGGGAAGAAAAACTGCACATCACCCTCCCAAAATAAAACAGAACTGGGAAAAAGCAAATCTCTCCAGATAAACCCAGGAAGTCCAGATATAGCCTCCCAGCCCACTGCAGAATCTGCGGTCATGTCCCTCCCCCAGCCTCTGCGCCCGGGGAGAAGGGCAGAGCTTCGGTGACAGGGCCTGAATGGCAGCGCTGGCGGCCAAAAGCTCTGCAGCCAGTTCTCAATGGAGGGGGGCGGGGTGGCTCCGGCGGCTCCCCGCCCTGACGGAGCCCGGAGCAGAGCACCTCCACAGACTCACACGCACGCACGTGCACACGCATCCACCTGCACAGACGTGCGCACACACACGCGCGCACACCCGTCCACCGCACAGACCCGCGCACGCTGGCCCCACGGCCCCGGAGCACGCGGAGAGCCCACACTCCCAGGAAACCCCAAGGAAACCCCCAAGAAAGGAAGTTTCTCGCGCAGCAGCTGAGGGGGGGTCGCGGTCTGCCGTCCGCTCAGCGCCCCCCACGGCCCACCTCCCGCTCGTCGCGCCCCGGGCCGGGCTCACCGATCTTGATCTTCACGCTCTGGAAGATGCGGAGCCCCTCCTCCTCCACCGCCATACTCGCTGGGCCCCCGGGAGCTCGCGGCCCCGCTGGACGCGCCGGAACCTCGGATGCAGCGGGAGCAACCTCAGCCTCCCGGCCGAGGCCGCGCAATCCCCGCGCCGCCGCCCCGCCGCCCCGCTCCACCGCCCCGCCGCCCCGCCCCACAGGCCGCCATCTCCCCATTGGCCGGGGCTACATGGGGGCGGGGCGTGTATGTGCCGCCCACGATGCTTCCCACCTGTCCATTGGCTAAGAGCTAGGAGGCGGGAGCGAATCGGCCACGCCCATGGCCCAACGGCAGCTCCCCACTGGCTGAGGCCTGGAGCGGGGCGGGGTTGGTGCCAGAGGCGGGATCGGAAGGGCCCAGTCGGGGTTGGGAGGGGGCTAGAGGCTCCGGGGGCCGAGGGGCCGGCGCTGGAGGGGCGCCGGAGGTGGGGAGCGGAGGGGGCCCGCGTGGGGAGGGCGACCGGGGCGGGGGGCAC